TTGCTGTAAATTTAATGTAAAAAGCCAGGTGTGGCAGTACATGCCTTTAATGCCAGCACTTTGGAGGCAAAAGCAGGATGGTCTCATTGAAGACTGCCTGGTCTGTGTATTGACTTGTAGGTCAACAAGGACTGTGTAGAGACCATGTTCACAACAACAAAAAGTTCATTGTAAAGAGAGGAAACAACAGAAATGAAAAAGATTAGGCAAATCTGACCATGATCTTAAATGCTTTTAACCACAGCACTGCTTGGGAGGCAGAGGCTGGTTATCTGAATTTGATGCCAGGCCAGGGTAACATAGGGAGACCCTGTCTCAAAAAAAGGGGTGGGTGATAGAGATAGCTCAATGCGTAAGTGATCTGGCTGCTCTGAGAACTGGGATTGAACTTGAGAGGCTGAACATTTTACTCTTGGGAAAAAGCCTGAGAATTTGACCTGCAGCAGAACCCAAGCACCATGTACCAGGAAGGATCCCATGGCTTGACCTTGGCCAGAGTTACTCCCTATCTACTTTCTAGCAACTGTCAAAGAAAGGTTAGTCTGATTGTTTCAGATGTACTTTTAGACCCCTTGTGATTCTAGAGAGTCTTGCTTCAGGGCACAAACCTGTTGACTTCTACTCATTCTATTAGATATTTGGCAAACTTGGCACCCCTCCCTCACCCCTTCATTTGCTCATACTTTCTGATACAAATTGTTTTGCTGGGGAGTTTGAGGCCATTCCACTTTCCATTTCTGTCCTGCTTTCTCAGGATTGGGTTGGAGAAGAGCCCAATCCCAAGCTTGTAATAAAGAGACCCTAATGGTATTATTGCAACAGAGACAGCTTCTTTTTGGTCTTTGGGGTTTCACAAATGCATCCTGACAAAACACATTCTCAACAGCCACATGATGGCTTACAGCTCCAATTCCAGGACTCTCCTAGGCTTCACAGGCTCCAGGCATTCACATGATACAGAGTGCAGGACATGATCCATTGTGAGTTTCAAGTCACCCTGGGATACATATCAAGATTGTCACAAAACCAGGAAAATATTCTATTCACCCAAGAGTCTGAATCATGATCAAAACATATCAAGTGCATGCACATTTGGCTAGCAGAGATTGGCTGTAGACAGTACTGAGATCCTCCAGCACCTCTT